CGGCCGTGACCCAGGCCGTGTCTGGCCGGGGGGCTGCGGGTGGGGGTGGTGAGGGGTTCCTCCCTCTCGCTGGGGTGAGCACAAGGAGCTTTAGCACCTGCAGCTGGGATCACCACCTCCTCCGAGGGATTTAGAGGGGTCTGGGGGGTGCTGGACCCTGAACTCCCCCAGTGCCCTTTGGCAGCTGGCAGAGCTGGGAACTCTTTTCACATCCTTCTGGGAGCTCTTTTTAATCCCAGCTTTCAGGCTTTGCTGCCCCAGGCTCCCCTCCACAGCCACTTTGCTCTTACCAGGCTCTCTGGGTCCCCATCTCCCCCCATGCTGGGGACCGAGCCCCTTCTCGTGCCCGTCCCACATGGGGACAAGGTGGTGTGGGGTGGCAGAGGCGAGCAGCCACAGGTCCTTCATGGGCACATGCTGCCGCTTCTGGTGGGGCAACCCTTCCCCGGAGAATCCCAGGCAGGGAAGCGGGGCTTCAAGCCCCTCGGGCTCTGGGCTCTGCCCTCTGCCAAGCCGTGCCCACTAACCACAGGGCAGGGTGACTCTGACCTGTGCCAGCCTGCAGATGAATGAAAACCCAGGAGAATTTCATCCCTGCCTGGAAATTCCTAGGATATTGGGATGTGATGTGAAAAAGCCAGTAGCTATCTGATGGCCCTGGCAGCCTCAGGGCTACCTACCTTTCTCTGCTGTTGTTTGGAGGCATCATCTGTCTCTTCCCTCTCCTCCTCCTTCCTATAAATTGCTTTTTCAGATGACTTTGTAACTGCAAGATCCATTAAAAGTTGTGTTTGTCCCTTCCAAAGGCTTTCTGAGATACTTGAATTTCTCTGCTGCTAGTGATCCTGTTTAACATTTATCCAGGAATTCATTTAGTCCCACAGCGATCAGATGGAATGAAAAGCAGATGCCTCCAGAGTTATTTTCCCCATTTCTGGTGCTGCTTAGGGCCCTGCTGTCCTTCACTACCCGAAAATACTATTGCAGAGCTCTGGATGGAGAACCTGGTGCTCACAGCTACCTGGCACCTTGGGAACACGGTGTCCGAGGTGGCACCGGGCTTGCCAGGAGGCGGTGGTGGCCGATGGAGGAGTTGGCAGAGCTCCAGCTGCAGCGCCCGCCCTGGGGCCTCGACTGCCTCCTCTCCCTCTCCTGGTGATCCGCTTCCCGTCGGTGAGCCAGGAGTTTTAAGCCTTCTCACCAGACATGTTTTAGACATATGGAAATTCCTCTCTAATAGAGAAGATCTTTCTCAGGCTCTATGGAATTCAGGTTGGCTTTTGCATAATAGTGTTTCCACAAGAGCTGAGTGGAGGTTTTTTATTTGATTGCTTATTTGTTTTGAGAGGTTATTTGGTAGAAACGGGGTAAAACCCACGGAGGACAGCAGCGGGAGCCAAGATTTGGGCTGCCCTTCCCCGTACCCGGCCAGGCTGCCGAGCAGCATCCTCCTGCTGAGCAGCAGCCCTCCTCTGCCTGTGCCTGCCACGAACTGCCTCAAGCCTGCCCCGCTCCTTCTCTGGGGTTTGCGGATCTAAGGCCGTAAACATCTGTGGCTCTGGACGCTCCCTGCGCTCTGGACATTGCTTGATGAGTTTCCTTCACGCTCAGCAACCTCCAGCCCCCAAACCCCCCGTGCTGGCTCCAGCACCGCTTGCTCCCTCTCCTGGCATGTCCTGTGGGAAACCCGGGGGAGCGCGGCCCTTCACGGGGCTCTTTCACACCAGAGAGATGCTTTATTTACTTCGCTTTCCAAGTGATATTACATCTGAATTGATTTTGAGGTTGTTGGGTGTTTTTTTCCCGAAGAGATTAACGAGCAATTCAAACTAATCTGAAGTGACTCACACTTCACCGACGCGCTGTGCTCGCACGCAGCTCGGATCCGCAGGGGAGAAATCTGGCATTGGGTGGCATTTCTCCCAGTCAAAGGCTGCGGTGCACGCACAAAACACTGACAAAATAACTCCACAATGCCAGCTTGAATGGAGACAAAATATGATACAGAAGTAACTTTAATCCGGCTGTTTGTTCACAAGTACAGCTGAGTTTTGCACTGGTTTAAGTAAATTGGTTTACAGAAAATAATTAGCACAGGGCAATTTCCTTATGGAAGCCAGCTCTTATCTTGGCAGAGACTAAAGTGCTTTTTCTTCTGGGTGACCTTTGCTTTGCTGACTTCTTTGGGAGCATCTTCTGGTGGATAATGGAAAGTGATGCCGCGTTCAAAGAGGACGTTGTTGCCAAGGGAGCTGTTAGTCCCCGTCTGTTTACAACCGCGAGACGGGAGCCTGGTTTGAAAGACAGCAGCTGACGGTGGAAAGCACTAGAGCAATATCGTAGCACTAGAGCTCTTCTGCTGCTGCTGGAAAAGAAAATTCCTGTTATGACAAAGGCTGAAAGGGAGCATTAATCCTGAAAAAAGGACTGGAATTGAGCTGGCGTGTGAGATTTCCAGCAGGCTGAAGCAAAGAGGTGTGCATCTCTCTGCTATTCGGGACAAAACCGGGCTGGAATCCATAACTACTGCGTTTTTCAGTTCATTTTTATTCAGGCAGATAGACCAGGTTTTCTGTGATTTCTATGGAAAGGCTATGATTTGAGGCACTTTTGGGCACCCCAGCCATGGTGCAGCCTCTGTGTGTATTTTCCAGCAGCATCCCTGGCCGATGCCTCCCCAACCTGCCCGGTGGGGACCGCAAGGTCACCATCCTTAGGGTCTATCCGACTCACGAGCAGTCTCTGCTTTTTGCTCTGGGGTCCCAAATTTAAACTGCAGATCTCCAGCTAAAGGTATTAGTAAGGGGGACAATCATCACTGAGACAGGTGTGACAAACTACATCCCCTGGCCTTTGAAAAGGGTGACTGAGATGGGGACCAGGCCACGTACAGTTTGGAAAGGGCCCGTTTGGTTCCTTTCTTTTCTTTTTGTTTCTTCTGTGCTGATTTCCATGCTACGTCTGATGGATGCATGGGCACCTGCATTGCATCAGGTCACACTGCTCCACCCGTGCCCTCTTGCAGCTGTTTAGCATTCAGGCGGAGGTGCAGGAATTAGGCGAGAGGATTTAATGATCTCCCAGCATTCCTGCGTGGTACAAGCCTGGAAAGCAAGAGCTCCCCAGGTAGTGTGAGGAATTGAGAAGCTGCTTTTTCTGGGGGGAGACTGAACTGTGGTGTCCCTATAGTTCCTGTCCCCATCCAGCAGGGACCTTTGTGAATACAGGTGAATACAACAGCTGCCACTTTTGGGGGGGTGTTGCAGAGCAGTCTGTCCATCGCCCACAGATGCAGGTTGCTGCAGGTCGTGCCTGCTGTGCGCGCTGGGTTAATTAGCAGGCATGGCCACGGTTTGGGGAAGTTGCTAAAGCCAGAGCTGTGTTAAACAGCTGCAGGAGTGCTGCCAGATAGCAACGGTTTTGTAGCAACAGTATTATATTTAGGTCACATTTTTAACTTTTCAGCCTGTGTTTCTGAGGCTTTTTCTTCTGGCCCTTGCCTTGTGACGGTGGCATCCAGCAGGGATGGGCTTTTAATGGTGGGGTTTAGTGTAACGCCTTCGCACAGACTGTGTGTTTCAGGTTGGCTTTGGGAAGAGTTTGCCCTGGTTCAACCTGTCCCTCGAGGGGTTTGCACGCCAGGTGGGGACGGGTTCACCTCTGCTTTCAGTGACTTTGGCCGGAGGACCGGGGTGCACCCTGTGAAGGGTGGAAGCGTTGCAGCCATCAGCAGCGCGGCTCCTTGTCTCCATGGGAACGGGCAGCAGGAGCATCCTGCCGTCTGGCCAGAGGGGAGGAAGAAGAGGAGGAGGAGAGGAGGTGGCTGCCACCTTCCCTGGGGACTGCAGCAGGGCAGCACTGGGCTTTGCTTGCCAGCCAGCTCTGATCTCCTGGGGGACAGAGATCTGCTGTGGGCTCTGAGCACATGTAAACTTGGGTGCTGGAGGACCCACACCTCCTTCTGACCGATCCCTCCAAACCCAGGCCCCTCTCCCTCAGCCATGGGCTAATTTCCTACCATTGCATGAACTCAGCGACATGGAGATGGTTGCTTTTATCTTTTGAGAGCCCAGGAAGCAGGGGAGGCTCCCAAGTGGACTCCTTATACCCTTCCAGCAGGGACCCCAGCATCCTTCTGTCTCTGTGCCTCAGTACCAGCTGAACCTGAAACACCCCCAGGCAGGGGCACAGCAACACGCAGCGGCACAGGGGCAGGATCCTCATCCCCGCCCTGTTTGCTGCCCGGTCTTGCTGAGGGGATATCTGTTAAGGGATCTCAGCCGGCAGCTGCTGGCTGAGGATCTCAGATCTCGCGAGTACCGGTGGGGTGGGAGCTGGTGGGGATGCCCCCCTCGCTCTCCCAGAGTCAGGAGGCTGGGAAAATTCAGACAGAACAAACATCTCATTGCAGACCTGATGTACACACACACAGATGCCAAGGAGCCCTCTTGGTGCGTCACCCCAACCTAAATGTGCTGCAGGACTCGCACCTCCCTCTTGCAGAGCTGAGGCATCTGAGGAGGAAGGGAATGGGTTAATCCCCTGCCTGCTGAAGAGCTGTCTGTGCCTACTAGGAAAGCTGGAAGGAGCTCACTTAGCAGGGACCACTGGGAGCCGCCACTAAATCCCCACAGCCTAGGCTTTTGGCAGTTGGAAAAGAGTGAAAAACGCATGGAGCATTTAATGGCAGGGGCTGGGGCATCGGGGTTGCCGGTGACTTCTTCCCCTGCTGTCTTCACGCCCATGCTTTGCGGGAGGTCAGGAAGGTTTATCACGGCCCCTTGAAAGGATTTCTTGGGAAACTGGGATTGCGAGATGTGTCCTGGCCTCCCAGGGTGAACCTGGGGCATCCCGCCTTTCTCAAGGGAGCTCTGGCCATGTGGGATCACATTTATCCCCTTTCCTTGCTCAGCAGGACATCAGCTGGGGTGGTGCTCAGAAAACTGCTGGGACGGGATGTCCCCAAGAGACAAAAGTCTTGGTGGTCACATATTCACATCTGAGCTCTCAGCGCTCCTTCCCTCCCTCCTGCTCTTCCCCCCTGCTTTTATTCCTCCCTCAACCCCCGTCTGCCCTCTCCCATCCCCTGCTCTCTCACTTAGCCGGTGACGCCAGACCTCCTGGTGAGTCCCACCAGCCAGGACGGGGAGCTGGGCTCCGAGTGCCCAGAAGACAGAGGGAACTGGACGGGGCGGCTGGATTTCCTCCTTTCCTGCATCGGATACTGCGTGGGCCTCGGAAACGTCTGGAGGTTCCCCTACAGGGCTTACACCAATGGAGGAGGTACTCAGACATCCTTTGGAGTGGCCACATCTCCCCTTGCTGAGATGGGCTGGTGGGATGTGTCTCTGAAGAGACACCTGTTATCCTTCTCAGAGCTGGGAAGTAGCGTTGGGGTGAAGCCTCCTCCTGCCTCCCAAGCTGGCTATAGGGCATTAACTACCTGTACCCACGTGTGGAAGGGACTCCTCAGCCCATCTCTGCACTCATGGCCTTGGAGACATGCCCAGCTCTGTGCTGGGTGAATACCACCTGAGCGTCCCCCTTGGTTTCCAATAGCTGCTTGGTCTGGCATGCTCTAGGACTCTGCAGGGTCAGCAAATGCTTCCCAGGTATCGAAGGAGGGGAGAGAGCCTTTGCAATGCAAAAGCCCGGTGTGATAGTGCAAGGTGCCCGGCTTGTTCAACTACTCACAGAGTAACTGCTTGCCACATGCAATAATAATTGTAGAATTTCACAGAGTTTGTGAAAGATTGAACGAGAAAACAGAGTTGGGGGCAGGGGAAGCACGACACCGGGTGAATCACAGCCCGTTCCTCCTGCACTAGTGGGGAACTGCTGGCCCTTGCTGTCTTCCAGATTTTGGTGCAGATCCCTCAGGGCCACAGATATTGAATAAACTTTATTCCTTGTCATAAACAAGCTTTAGGTGTTTGCTCTGTGTTATTTTTAGGGTGTTTTTCTTGCTTCTTGCAGGTGCTTTCCTGGTTCCTTACTTCATCATGCTGGCCATCTGTGGGATCCCCATCTTCTTCATGGAGCTGTCGCTTGGCCAGTTCTCCAGCCTGGGGCCACTCGCTGTCTGGAAGATAAGCCCTCTCTTTAAAGGTGCATGAGAGAAGTCCAGAGCCTCTGTGGGGCCTCTGGAAGAGCTGCTTGATAAGGACGTGAACCAGCAGCATCGTCCTGGGATCCTCAAAGCTCTTGTTAGAATCAAAGGTTAAATCCTGGGGGTAGGGGGAGCAGGCTGGACTTCTGGGTTAGCTGCTTTAGCAGCTGCGAGACATGTATGAGATCTATCAGTCTTTGGAGGCTCTGTATGTCATGACCAGCTCTAGAAATTGTTTGGAAATTATTAAGCCAGCTAGCATGTAAAATAGAGCATCGAAGCTAAGCAACGGCTGTTAAAGACAAAGGTAAGAATAAAGCGTTCAGAAAAAGGTCAAATCAAATACTTTTACTCTCAACATGAAGTTGGAGTAGAATTATCTGTATGATGCAGTAGATTATCAATTCAGAGAAGGCATGTCCGGAGGGAATAAAGACAAGAGGCTCCTCCCACCAGGTGAACCTCTGGCTGGTTAAACATTCGGCTGCTGAGATCCAGTATCTGACCCTAGTTTTGGATGTGCTTCATTCCGGAGACATGGCTCAATCCTTCTTTACCCTCTGCTTCCTCCAGGCATTGGCATGGGCACGATCCTCATCGTCTCCCTGGTGGCCATTTACTACAATATGATCATTGCTTATGTTCTCTTCTACCTCTTTGCATCCCTCACAAGCGACTTGCCCTGGCAGCACTGCGGCAACTGGTGGAACACCGACCTGTGCCTGGACCACCACATCATCAAGGCGGGGAACACCACCTTCCCCGTCAACATCACCAACACCGTCAGCCCCAGTGAGGAGTACTGGAGGTAAAGAGGTCAGCCTGACCTGGTCGTGGGGACATGGCTGGCATCCAACCAGGGAGAGCTTGGGGGAGGGATGAAGGTCTGTGCTGCACTTCTCATGGCTTGGTGGGCACTCGTGGTGGGCGTTGTGGATGCGGTGATGGGCTCTCATGGTCAGCAGTGTATCTCAGTTTAGCCATTGGGATCATGTCCCTGGGATGTTGGAGGTGTCTGTAATCTAGAGCTGCTTTGCTGGCCTGAGATGTGTCAGACTGAAACGGATCCCACGCCTGGACCGGCTGGGAGTTTGCTCTCAAGCTGCCGGGCATCCCCTCTGGGGTCTTTAATGCATGGTGGAGAAATCACACCAACTGCTCCCCTTGCCCTGGCAAATAGCTGCCAGTGTCTTCTTGCCCTCTCACTGCTGGGACTTTTGACAAGGCTATTTTTTGCAGCAGAGGCATTGCTAGGTTCAGAGAGGTCCTCTGGAAGAAGATGAGGGGTGCCCATGGCACTCACCAGCAGTTTTCCTTTCTCCCTAGCCGGTACGTCCTGCACATCCAAGGGAGCTCCGGGATTGGGAGTCCCGGGAGGATCCGATGGAACTTGTGTCTGTGCCTGCTCCTTTCTTGGACTATCGTCTATCTGTGCATCCTAAAGGGAGTCAAATCCTCTGGCAAGGTGAGGGCTGGAGGGCCTCTTTGGGGGATCTACAGTGATGTCCACCAGTGCCTGCACATCTGGGAAAGCGAGACCCATAAACAGCATCAGCCGGACCTGGGCCACTTCGGGGATGGCTTGCACACTGGCAGGGCTGGCATCACTGTCCCCATTGCATCCCAAGGAGCCCAGCACTGCAGGGTGATGCTGGGAGATGTGGTGACCCACCCCGGGGACAGGGCTGGGGGGAGCACTCATGCTGCGCTCTTGCTCCCGGCTCTCCCAGCTGGCTCTGTTCTCCCGCAGGTCGTGTACTTCACAGCCACCTTCCCGTACCTCATCCTGGTGATGCTGCTCATCCGTGGCGTGACCCTGGAGGGGGCCTGGAAGGGGATACGGTTTTACCTCACGCCCCAGTTTGATCACTTGCTGTCTTCCAAGGTGAGGAGGATCTCACGCCTTTTGTTCAAGACACAAAAATGAACCTTCTCCTGCCACCTCCAGCATACAACAGAGGCACTTCACTTACTCAGGCCACTCCCTGACTCAAAGACCTCTCTCTTGGATGCCCCAAGACCAAAAATATTTGCCTTTCAGCAATCTGTCTTTGCTCTACAGCTTGTCTATACTGCTCTTCCCACCTGGCCCAGCCTCATAGCTGCGTTTCTGGCTGTCTGTGCAGGGGGTGGTGTGCTCACCACCTCCCCTGGGTACCAGGACTGTGGAGAGGGTTAGCGCAGCCCCTGTGATGGTCTGAGGGGTGGCGGTGGGTGTCTGTGGTGGATTTGGCTGTTCTCTTTTTCGGGGAGTTTCCTTGGGTCACCAGTGTCGGTAGCAGAGGCCACCCAGTTTTACAATGGTGTTTAATGCCACACTGGGCTGGCTCTAGCACAGTCTCATCAACCCTGCCGCTATCCAGCTGACCCTCTGTGAGTGGTGAGCGTGTTGGCAAGGAAAGGCAAAGACCCCATGGCCTTTGCATGCCAGGAGGGCAGGGGAAGATGTGCCGGCGGCTCTGGGGAAGCATGCTTCCAACTCCGTCTTCCTCAGGGGAAGGGTTCCAAGCCCCTGCTCTGCTCGGACCTGTTTCCTTCCCCCAGGTGTGGATCGAAGCAGCCCTGCAGATTTTCTACTCCCTTGGGGTAGGCTTTGGGGGCCTCCTCACCTTCGCCTCGTACAACACCTTCCATCAGAATATCTACAGGTAGGAGACAGCTGCTGTTACGTAAAAATCATGGGTTGAGGGGAGCCATGAAAAATCTCAGCTGGCGGGCTCAAAGTCAGCAGAAGCAGGCAGTGCAGCACACGGTCACCCAGCACTGCTCCTTGCCCAGGCACCTTACAGATACGTGGCAGCTTGCACAGGTTCAAGAGGTACAGAGCTGTATCTGTGGAGGAAAAGTCTCCTAAGCATCAAGACACAGTGCCTGGCTCAGAAGTTCTGGGCTGCAGGTGCTGAAGGCTGAGGATGTTTGAGGCTAGTTATGCATGTTTGTCCTGTCCCCAGCATCTGTTGCAGGTCACCAGCAGAGAGGAGAGTCTGAATGTTGGACATTTGGGCTGGTCCCCTCCTTTGGGGAAAGCAAGCTTGGGAGGAACCCCACAAAATAACCCGTGTCATGAGATATATGCTCCTTTTGACCCTGGAAATCACATGCCAAGGGAAGCCCTGGAGGAGAATCGCACTGGGTCACCTTACTGTGGCACCTGGGGCTGGCAATGCCATCGTGCACTGGTGTGGAGTGGGAAGGAGTGGGCATGTTCAGAGCATCTTCTTTCTCCTCTGTAGGGACACCTTCATAGTGACCCTGGGCAACGCCATCACCAGCATCCTGGCAGGGTTTGCCATCTTCTCCGTTCTGGGATACATGTCCCAGGAGCTCGGGGTCCCTGTTAACCAGGTGGCAAAAGCAGGTGAGGCCAAACAAAGACCCTTTCTCCTTCACCCTCTTCCTGGGTGCACTAAGGATCATCCCTTCCAGGCTGGCAGGCACCCGAGGGTGTCAGCGTGAGGGCTGGAGCTGTATGCTCAGCTGGCCAGAGGGAGGGAAGAGGGGAGGCCGGTTCCTGCAGTGCAAACCTTGAGCAGCACCAAGTGGTGTCTAAAAAAGGTCCAAGCAAGGAGCAGGCTGGTTCTCCTGAACCTCTCCACCCTCTGCTGCAGGACCCCTCCTGCCCATCTTGCAAGAGCCCCTGCAGGTCCCTGCCATGATGCCGCTCTGTTGGGCTCTCCTCTCCTCCATCCCCCCATGCCCAGCACTGTCACCCCCTTTTCACCCTGCTGTCCTTTGCCTCCCCTAGGTCCTGGCCTGGCTTTTGTGGTGTACCCCCAGGCCATGACAATGCTCCCCCTTTCTCCATTCTGGTCTTTCCTGTTCTTCTTCATGCTGTTAACCTTGGGTCTGGACAGCCAGGTAAGGACTGAGCCCACCAAGCCAGCCGCGGTGCCCAGGCAGCCCGGGGGGCTCAGGGGACCGTCTTCTCCTTTGTGTGCAGTTTGCCTTTATGGAGACCATCGTTACAGCAGTGACAGACGAATTTCCCTACTACCTACGGCCAAAGAAAGCTTCTTTCTCAGCTGTCATCTGCATTGCTCTCTTTCTGATGGGACTTATTCTCACAACAGAGGTAAGGGTGCGGGGCTGGATGCATCATGGGGACCAGCTAGGGCCTCATTTTAGGCAGACCTTAGGGCAGGGGGTGAGTTTGCAGAGACACATGTATTCACATCAGCTAACAAGGTGGAAGAGAGATGATGGATGAGCCTGGGCTTCCTGGGGGTATGAGGTTCAAGGGGAGTGACACAGTGTTATTCCTGTCCCTGCACCAACCCCAGAAAGAGAGTGATGTCTCCCGAGGGTACCTGACCACTGTCTTCCCCCAAAGGAGCTAAGGGGACATGTCCTCAAAAGTGGGAGGACATGGGTGGGGCTTTGTTGGAATTCTAGTCCCAGGGATGCTGGCCACTGTGCTTTGCCTCCACAGGGTGGGATGTACTGGCTGGTTCTGCTGGATGACTACAGCGCTGGCTTTGGTCTCATGGTGGTAGTGATCACTACCTGCCTCGTGGTGACACGTGTCTATGGTAAGGGGGTCTGTCCCCACAGGGAGGAGCGGGCTGTCTGTATGAAGAGAGGAATTTAGAGGGAGTGGTGGGAGAGCCAGCAGCCTCGCAATGGAGCGTGGAACACCTCTGCTTCAACCTCTTGTTTCTTCTTGGCCATCACTGGATTCACCTCTCCAGAGATGCTGGGGGTGCTGAGCCTGGTCCCTTAGACAGCATCAGCTGGTCCTCCCCTTCCTGCATCTACCAGCTGGCAGGGGAGACACTTCTTTGCTGTAGAGGATGCAAACCACCGCTTTTGGTCAGTGTAGGGCAACCTGGTACAGGCACCTGGCTCTGGGGGAGGGATAACGGCTTCTGAGTCCCTCTCCCTCTCCCTCCTCCAGGCATGAAGAGGTTCTGCCGAGACATCCACATGATGCTGGGCTTCAAACCAGGGCCCTACTTTAGAGCCTGCTGGACGGTCCTCTCCCCAGCAACAATGATGGTAACTGCTCAGCTTGAGGTGCTGGATGGTGCTGGAGAGTGGTGCCAGCATCCTTGGATCACCTCCCCTTGTGAGAAGTCAGTCTGGTGTAATGTCCCACCCCAGGGACCGTTCTGGTTCTGCAGGAAGGTCTCCAGGCCCTTTTAGAGCATGAGACCTTCAGAGGGCTCTGGGCTGACCTCACTTTTTTCCCATCCCGCAGGCTCTGCTGGTGTACAACATTGTCAAGTACCAGCCCTCCAAGTACGGCAGCTACCGCTTCCCCGTGTGGGCCGAGGTCTTGGGCATCCTCATGGGAGTCCTCTCCTGCCTGATGATTCCTGTGGGCATGGTGGTGGCCGTGCTCCGAGAAGAAGGGACACCGTGGGAGGTAGGAGGTGCTGGGACCTGGCATTGCTGCGGAGCACCCCAGAAATGTGCAGGGGTGACCACGAGCCCCTGCTGAGCCTGTATCCTCCTGCAGTTTCTGCATCCTCTCTCCCGTGTGTGTCCCCATCCCTCCTTGCTGCCCAAGGGGTGCAAGATGGTGTGTCCCAGGGCATTTCCAGCAGTGTCCCCTCCTGCAATGTCAGGCAGCCACCGAGTCATCCTGCTTCCCAAGGGGCAGCCCTGTGGGCATCCCGCTCCAAAACAAGCCTGCTACGTCTTGCCCTGTGGGGAAGAACATTGTCCCTAGCATGGGGCAGGCATGGGTGCATGGGACTTTGCACCCTTTTTGCAGGAACAATGACAGAGCAAGGAAGGCAGCTGCCACAGGTGGGATCCCTCCTCTGAAAGGTTTCTCCTAGGAGCAGGTTATGGAGCTGCTGGCTGCTCACAGCCTCCCCAGCCCTGGCTGGGCTTTGCTGCTCTCCCCAGGCTGTCCAAAGCAGAGGCAGCAGAGCTTGCTGCCCTCCCCAGGCAGCACCCAGCTGGCTGGAGCACATACTGGCTGCAACCTGGCTTGGCACAGTGGCATGGCCAGGAACCACCTTGGCTGAGGCTAAGCCCTTGCCTGGGTGACTCCAACCCCACACCGCAGGCCCATAGCCCTACAACAGCCCTTAGCTCCTGCAAGCCCTCGCCGCCAGCGCCTGCAGACCACAAGACCTTCCCAACCCACTTACACAGAGCTGCCTTCCCAAAAAGCTTCAGGACAGGCTTTTGGCCCCATCCCATCCTCATCAGGGGGCTCTTCCAACGCCCTGGGGCTAGCAAAGCACTCGGTCCCCGGGAGGGGTGGGTGAGCTGCCGGTGAACAGCGCGGGTGCTGGTGCAGGGTTCCCGTGCTCCCTCCGCCTGTCCCCTCGCAGCGAGTCCAGCAAGCCAGCCGGCCCGCCATGGACTGGGGCCCGTCGCTGGAGGAGAACCGGACCGGCATGTACGTGGCGAGCCTGGCTGGCAGCCAGTCCCCCAAGCCTCTGATGGTCCACATGCGGAAATACGGGGGCATCACCAGCTACGAGAACACGGCCATCGAGGTGGACCGGGAGATGGAGGAGGAGGAGGAGGCGGAGTCCATAATGTGAGGGGACCCAGCACCTTGCAGGCGGGGAGGGGGGCTCACCCCCTAATTTGCACAGGTTGCACTGTGGCACTTCAGGACGGCTTGGGGGGGGTCTTTCGGGGAGCAGTCAGGAGCTGCTGATCCCGCTGGCCTCCTCGCCACCGCCCTGGCCCCACCAGGACGGAGCTGCTGTCCGTCCCGGTACTCCCGAGGTGTTTGTTTGGTGTGGCAAAGTGTTTGATGAGTCCGTGCATTTGTGTGACCATGTCTGGGTCAAGTGTCTGGGCTGCCCCGCTCCCACCCTCGCCCCCAGCCCTGCCCTACCCATGCAGGGATGATACTCGGGCTGTGGGAGGCAGGGAGGAGGAGGAGGTCCTCTGCCTTGGTCTGTTCTCTACTTGTGTGTATTTGACTCCAACAACCCACAAACACATGTGAGAAAGGACTGCAACATCCTCCATGCCCTGAGGACCGTGTGTGCCAGTGTGCTCTGCTCACAGGGGGATAATCCAGCAAAACAGCACAAATCAGTGTTCTGTTAAAGAAATATAATCTAAAGAAATCTAACCTAATACATGAGCAAATAAAAACAATTAGAAGAAAAAAAAACAAACCAGCTTGGGTCTTTCCAAGCTCGGAGATGGCCCAGGCACCTTGCTGGGTCAGGGCAGCTCTTCCCCGTGGTGCCTGGCAGGGCTGGGGGGAGCTGAAGGCAGGGAAGAGGGTGGGTGACCTGTGCCCTGTGTATGCTGAAGGTCAGGGACAGGTCTCATGGACCCAGTGCCAAAGGAGGACCCGTGTCCATCCCTGAGGGGGATCTGAGGGCTGTCCCCAGCCCCGGCGCTGCTTTTCCCAGGGAAAGGTGAAGGGCTGGGTTTCAGTGCCTGTGTGTGATTTTGGGGTAGCTCAGCCCAGGCTCCATGTCCTAGAGACCCCAACTCCTATCGATGCTGCTGCCCTGGGGGGGGTCCTGGGGAGCTCCTGGACGGGGCTGTCTGGACCCAATGCTGCCAGTGCCCATCACCCCAGTGTTGTGTGTGCCTTCCCCTGTGTACCCTTGCCTCGCCATTAAAAAGCAGTGTGTAACACAGCCTCTGCATGGGTTATTTGGGGGGGTCCTCAGCATGCAAGAATGGCATCTCTAGGGGGGCTTCCAGGGACGGGGGGCACAGGGCCCTGGGCTTTTTCCTTGAAAGCTATGTCCTGGTCAGGTTAAAGCCATAAACCCAGGATAAAGAGAAAAAATTAGGGTTGATGTCTGGGTTATGCATCTGGCCCCAGTGCTGCTGCACAGCCCTGGGTCCAGCACCACGGGCTGAGCATCCAGGATGAATCCTGATGTGAGGCTGTAGTTTTCCTTAGCAACAATTCCCTCGTGCGGAGGAGATATTGAATTATTGCCTTTGCCCGTCCAAGAACGCGGGGCCAGCTCTGACACCTTCTCCTCCCGCCCACCCACCTCCCCAAGCCCAGGGATGCTGCGCTCCCTCCCCAGCTGGCTCTGCCCTTACTTTTCCCTGGAGGACCACCGATGGCTTTCCACCTCCTTCTCACCATACCCCACCATGCTGCAGCCCACCGGGACGATGGGGGTCCCCCAGCCCCTGCTTCTCTGGGCTCTGTTGGGGTCTGGCAGCGTGACCGTACTGCAAAGCACCTTCAGCCGCTAGCCCCCGGGTTAATCATTA